CCCCCCACACACACACACACACACTAATTCTTAGTGCAAGATACATAATAAATCGTGCCTTGTACCTTGAGTCAAATGGACAGGTTTTAGGCTCTAAAATTTATTTGGTCTTTGAGAAAGTCAATCTATAGGAAATATAATCCTGCAATGACCTAATAGATAAGTCTCATGATTAAAATTATTATCTGTTTGCCTTGGTTGTGGTTACTACATGTTAGCTCTAGTGTGGCTAAAGCTGTTCCTTCACAACATAGGTCTACAAGTCAAAAGATCGTGATCATGGCCTTAAATAGAATAGTGTCATGCTTTATTAGACCGATAGGTTCAAGAGCAGTGTCACGGTGCAGTCTTTGAAATTGTTATTACGATTAATTTGCCAAGTATGACACATAAAGGCCAGCGTTGGGGTAACGCAGTTGTACAAATCACGTCATTATATCAAACTTTAAGCCCAGGAAACAGCCCGACTTTCTATACCAGCACGGATGGTGTTACGGATTAGCCCAGGTCCTCCAGGGACGTCCCCAGAGGTACACCTGTCAGGGCTGAGGTCAGCCTAGGTGACCTACCTAACCGTCACCGTCTATACTGTCAATGCAATTTAATCTTGATAAAATTCAAATAAAATATGCAGCCTAGTTACAATGGAACAATCTTCCATTTTCGAGGTGGTAGTTATTTACTGATTATTTCTCAGGTCGGCGACGCAGTTTGGCTATGTTCGTTTTCTTGTGCATGGGGGCCCACCGAACTATCTTTGTCGTGAAAATCTACACTTTCAATGACGGGGCTTCTCTATTCCCTCTCCGCACGACCCATAAAGGATTCTAGGCATAACCATTTTTAATGGAGTACCGCCTTGCTCCTCGCTAAAGCCACAATCAGATACTGTTCAATTCTATAAGCGCTCAGACCACTTTCTTTTAGTGACATGGCCATTCCCGATTAAAACAAAGTTCGTGATCTTATATCGGGTTTAAATCCTGCTGCATTACGATAAGTCTCCTTTCACAAATTGTCGTGATGTTATTTCTCATTCCTCAGTAACCAGCTCGACTGGATGTGGAGAGTTTCTGAGGGCTTCCTCGGGAGGCCCTATAACGTCGCCGAACTATCCCAATGACTACGGCAGCTATGAGAACTGCGTGTGGTCAATCACTGTACCAGAGGGAAGCATCATTCGTCTCACGTTCGACAGTTTCAAAACTCAGGACGAGTTTGACGTTCTGACCATCATTGATGATGCGAAAGTTGTACAAAGGTGATGGTCTAAACAATTTTTTACTACCAAAGTATGTTCCTACAGTTGATTCTGATTTGAAACAAGACGTAGTGATGGCAATGACCAATCACTGAAGGGCAGTCAAGTAGAACAGTTTTATTATGGATAACTTAAAGAAAAGAGGCCCGAAGCGATACATTTTTGGAGTAGTTTATGCGTCAAAACTTAATTGTTTATAATCAATGTCCAGGTTATCAGGTTACCACCAACAAATCAGCCCTGTGATCAGCATATCTAATACGATGTTACTGAAGTTTACATCTGACGGAAGTATGAACTATCAGGGATTCCGGTTCTCGTACATAAGTAAGGTATTTCATTACACTTTTGAAAGTAACCATGTTATATACTTTGGTCTGCTGTGCAATATGAATTTCTTTGTTTTCCTAAGAATATCAAGCTAATGAACTTCTTTAAAAGAAAAATACAAAATTCGCTGTGAAAAAAAGTAGATGTATTTCTTCTTACATCCCTTTTCTTTTCTCAGGCAGTACTGCAGGTCAATGCTGGGATCCAGGCTTGCCCACCAATGGGATCAGGGATACCAACGGTAACTTTACATCAGGACAGACAGTCAGATACACCTGTGTTTCCAATTACCTGCTGTCCGGGACTGCCAATATAACCTGCCATTCAAACGGAACATGGAGTGATGCTACACCTACTTGCAAACGTAATGTAAACACATCATTGTCGTCAGATTATAAGGGTTAACTGTGTATACACAGAACGTAACTGATAAAGGACTGATGGTCCGCTAAGAAAAACGATTAAATGACGCCATCTCTCTCCGACGACGCTTTAATACACCTTTCTTTTACTTAATGTGTCCTCCTGTTTTTTTTATCTTTAATTAACATAATGAACATATTTGTGTTTCGCACTCAATATTTCATTATTAAAAGTAACCATTTGTACCCTACTGATTTACAACATTAAGCATATTGCTATAAAGTGCGCCATGTTATGTTACGTATGTGGGTAGAGGGGTGGCGCAGCGCCTTTAGTCATACCTAATTTATCCCCAATTGCATACATGGTATTGTTTGTGTACATTTTTGTGTTTTTTAAGCATTATTATATCTATTATATCCTTGTTGACTATTTCATGTTCAAGGCGGCGCTTAACTGAGTATAATGAAGTTGAATGCGTCACCCTCACAGTCTTGTATTTTATTTCTATAAGTAAATAAATGGTAAATATAGCATATATATCTATATCTGTAAATATCTATTTATATAATAATGTCTATTTAATGTCTATCTATCTATCTACCTATCTCTCTCTCTCTC